AATAATCCTGTAATGGATGAAGGTGTAACTAAATAGTGTTAAAGAGTGAAAACCATCTAAACACCAAAGGGAGATCAATTCCCAAAGTTTTGAGGGTTGAGTTAAAGAGCTATGCAAGTTGTTTAAAGGCAAAATGTGTCTTGAGAATTTGAGAGGGAATGAAAGTTTGTATGATAAGTACTGGAAAGAGTTGATTTTACCATGTCAATGGGAACGAACAAGTTGTGAATACACCCAATATTATCCGAGGGACATTTGAGATAGCAAACTCGAAATAAGTTTTACCGAACTTTCATGCAGATGGAAGGAACATGTAGTGAAGTTTGGGTGGAAATGAAAAGATTGTTTGCTTTGGAGTAGCACTCCAAGTTGTTAAGAACTTGAAGGTTTTAAGGGAGTAGTATTGCTTAAAAGCCCAAGGAACAAGTTAAACGAGGGTGATCTTTATATGAGTTCCAATGATAATTGTCAACATATAATGTTTTTAGGAGTTTGACTGAATTGTATGAAGAGTGAACAATTCATATATTCGCTTAAAAAAAGTGAGACTAAGGATGAGGATAAGGGATCAAACCAGAAAGAAGGTGGGTGAAAGATCAACAAGATGACTAAAGGAGTTTTAAAAAGATATTTTAGGAATAAGAAGAAGCAGGAAGGTGGCTTAAGTAATTCTTGGAGGTTAAGAATGTTAAAACCATGAAGAAATAATATACTTAAAGGTATTGAAATTATTGAACTATGAATATGAAAATGTCATAAAGGAGAAGAATTTATGACAAGATTTATGAATTTGATTGGAATGTGTTGACATGATTTAGGTAAGGATTGGTTATAAAGTAATTGAAGTTGAGATTATTTATGAGTCATGAGATTTATTCAAGGGATGCTAGAAGAAAAATTACGGGTTGATTAAATGAAATTTGTAAGCAAGAGTAATGTAAGCAAAGAAATATAGGGGTTGAGGGAACTTTGGAAATAATATAAGGACGTGTTTGTGTATGAAGAAAGGATTAATGTTGCATTGTTTAAAGGAGTTAAAGAATACTGTGGTAAGTCATTGAAAGAAAGTTACATCGCCTTGGGGAGCGCATGAATTTGTTAAGTGAAGGGATGAAAATTTGTATTTGTAAAGTAGCTTAGGAAGATTGATCAAGGTAACAATGAAGGATAATTTATCTTTTGATTAAAAGAGACAATTTGTTTGATCAAATGAAAGGAATAAATATAATATTGAGGTTAGACTTGAAGATAGGAACTAGTATTAAGTAAGAACCTTCGAAAGAGGACATTTCGAATATTGACATTTATGACAAGATTTGGTCGGTTTGAGTTTCATTTATTTTTCCTTTTGAATTAACGGAGCACCTATGTTTTATATGGACCTAAAGGAATAGAGTGTTTAATCGAAGATATTTGGGTAAATTCTAAGAATGGGAAGGAAAGGACGATGTGAACACTTGTGATAAAGTTATCAATACAGAGATAGAAGCAAATGCACACATGGTTTTTCCTAAGAGTGAGTTATGATTAAGAAAGGACCATCTTGGGAGACCTTGTGATAAAGTATAGAGGTAATTGCTGATGTAACAGGGATAGAAGCGGTGAATTATGGACAATAAATTAGTTGTCATTTGAGGTCTTTAAGTTGGATAATAGGGGTGAAAAAGGTCTATGATGGATTTTCAAGGATAATAGACAAGTGAATGTATTAATGGAGAGTAATAGAAAGTTTATAGGGAATATAAATGTGAAATAAATTTTGTATGGAAACATGATTATTTCAATGACGTTTAAAGTTTGAGATAGACTCTCACATACAAGGATTTAAATATGTAGCAAATAAATGATTGGAGTTGATAAAGGAATAGGGGTAAGACATACATATCATTGGAGGTAATGTGGTGGATTGATACAAAGTAAATAGGAAAGAAGGAAATTAACCCCCTCAAAAGTGTTGGAAAAGAAAGTAAAGAAAATGTTGGGATAACTAGAGTTTGAGACCAACAATATTTGAGGAAATACAGGAAAGTCAAGAAGAGAATGTGAATTTGGATTGAATTCGTAGGAGGATGTGCTATTTTATTGGTCATGGAAATAAGCTTAAATATACATTTAAGAGTAAGAAGTTGAAGTGAAATATAATGGGAGGAAGGTGAAATACACCCAGGAAAGGACATGTTGTAAAAGGATTCAACAAAGGTATATTGATGATTAAGAGTGATTGTTTCATTTGAATTGTGGTAGATAGATTGTCTAAATCCACAATGTGTAAAACTGATGAAGGAGACTTGGAGAAAGGAGAAACTTGGAAAGGCTTACAACAAATTTGTTGTGAGATTACATAGAGTTCCTAAGGATATCATTTTAGATTGAGATTCCTAGTTTCTTTCAAGATCCTAGGAGGTATACAGGAAAACTTTGGTGATACACGGAGGATGATTACTACAACCACCAAATAATAATGGACAAACAAAAGGAATATTTACGTTGGAAGTCATTATAGAGCATGAAGCATTGGAGAGAAAAAAAATGAAAGATAACCATGCAAGGCCGCATTGGCATGGCAACATTTCGAGGTTGGTGTAGAAAGAACTATGAAAGTTCACTATGTCGGGGAACATTAGTGAGAAGATCGTCTTAGGACTTCAAACGAGTAAAGTTATGGAGAAGCAAGAAAAGTATCCATGAACGGATTTAAGTGGTGCAAGTTAAACAGGGGACAAAGGACAAGTGTTATTGAAAGTGTAACCCATAAAACAAAGTTAAAGTATGGAAAGAATAAAGAGAATGAGCCAAGGTATATAGAAATATATGAATTTGCATAGAATTGGTAAAGTGGAGAATAACTTGGCATATTATTGGACCTTGGTAAGGTATAAGATATTCTTCATAAGTCATTGACTAAAGGTAGGACTTGCAAAGGAAACCATTGAATGAAACCAATTTGATCAAAAGAAAGCTAGACAAAAATAAAGGTTTTGAATAGCAAAGTGCTTCATACTTTTACTAGAGGATTGGTAAAAGATAGTATAGATGGTATTGATTATTTTTGGTATAATGAGTACGGAATCGATGAGACTTTTGGTACTTGCAACAAGGAATGAATATAGAGAAGTATTATGATTTTACCAAGGATGGAAACAGAAAGAGAACAACATCACTCTAAAGCTGAATTAAGTGGAGTTACGGGGGCGTAACTTGTTTTCTTTAAGGGGGGTAGAGTGTGATAGAATTGCGCACTTTTCCCTTAATTTTGGCATTTTAAGGGCTTGTTCGGTCAGTTTTACACTGATTTTGTTATTTAGTTTGTTTGTCTTACACACAAGGATGTGTAAATTTCTTTCCAAAGTTGAATATTACACTAATAGTAGTGTGAGTTCGTTAGATAGCCTAATAGTTTACACATTATTTTGTGTAAGTTGTTAATAAAGTTGTTATCTTACACACTAGTTTGCGTGTGATTGAATAGATGAGGTAGAAAGGAAGTATCACAAAAGTACAACAACTAAAAATATTAAGAAAAGTTTGCGAGATTTTTAGTATTTATGTGCCTTTAAACGAGTTTTTAAAGTTTTCGTACCTAAGTTTCGAGGACGAAACTTCTTTTAAGGGGGGTAGACTTTAATAGCCCGTATTTTTATTGTATTTTATAAATTATTTACTTATTTATAAAGTATATTTTGGGGTCACCTTGTTTTAATTATGGGATTTAAATAAATTGAGTTTTAATTTGATTAATACTCACTCTACCAAATTACAATTATATATATATATATAACAAGCCCAATCATTCTTTTATTTATTTGGGCCAATTGTTTCTCCCTCCTATCATCTTTTATGAAGCCCAAATATCTTAAATCTACCCTACTCTATATATACTCCTTCAACCCCCAAAAATTTTCCCACACAAGTGGTTAGTCCTACTTTTCTTTTCTCTTTATTTTCTTTAGGAAAATTTTCAAAAAACCACCCAAAAATGTGTTGAATTTCTAACTAACCACCCAAAAAAATTTATATTTTAAAATACCACCCATTAAATTAATTTTTTGCTCAGATTCCCACCCAATTTGAAAATCCGGTGGTTTTTTAGCTTGTGGGGGCCACATAACGGCTAGTTTATGCTTTTATTTGTTTTCTTCCCCCGATTATTCCTATAAAAGTGTATTCCTTATTCAATTTTTGCTCCTAAACAAAATTTTTCCCCAAATTACACAAAATTAAGCTTGCTTCTAATTGCATTTGCATCTGAAGCAACGACATCACTTGAATTCGCACAAGGTAATCTCAATTATCTGGAAAAATTAGGGTTCTTTCAAAATGTTAATTGGGGGAATTTGTGGGATTCATTAATTAGGGTTTTTTCATATACACGATTTAATTGAGATATTTTTTCAATTAGGGTATGTGGTAGTACTGAATTGTGGTTTTTCCTTTCAATTACAGTTAAGTTTGCTTTATTTGTAACCTTGTTCTTTGTGTTTATTTGTTGTTGTAATTGTTGTGGTAGAAATGGAGGAGAATAAGATTGTTCTCAGATTTAAATATTTAAGTGTAACTATAGACATTGAATATGAAGTAGGCAGAAGTAACTTGTTGGATACAGCTATAGAATTTGATGATCAACTTTGTGAGATGGATGATCCATTAGAAGGATCAGTTGAACTGTTGCACCCTACATTCCAGTATGTGTATAAAGGGAAGTTTAGGAATTTAGAAGATGATGGGGATGTGTTCAAGATGATTAGGAGGTTACCTAATAAGGAGGTGTACACCATACATGTTGGGACCACAGATGATCTTAGGTTTTTGGCTGACTGTATGTTGGAGTACAGGATGAAACAGAATGGTACATGGCCCCCCCTAGTTACCCTCATTATGGAGCGCAACCACCATAGTGAGTATGTGTGATTGAGGATATGTTAATGTGGTTGAATCTTTGTTTAATTGATGTAAATTGTTAAACTAACTGAGTACTGTTATGCTGTATTACATGGATAAAGATGTCATGGAATAACTCATCTCCCACAAACCAGAGGAAATGCAATTGTGGATTATCTTTAGCAAAATTGACTTCTTGGACAAATGAGAACCCTGGGAGGAAATTTTTGGCTTGCAAGTTATATGACCCTAAAACTGAAACAAGGGGGTGCAAGGCTTTTGAATGGGTGGACAATGAAGATGGTACTGATTGGCAAAGAGTTGTCATTAACCAACTGCTCCTTGACAAAAAGTTTATGAAAGGTGAAATCAACTCTTTGAAAAGGGATGTGGATGACTTGACTGGCCAGAGAAGATGTTTGCTTAATGAGGTTGACACCTTACAACTGAAATGCAAGGCCCTCACTGGTGATAGGAAGAAATTGATCAGAAGCAGTGGTTGTGACAACAAGCTCCAAGTTTATTTAGTTGTGTTGTGTTCAGTTTTGTTGGTTGTCCTAGGTTATCTTGTAATGAATAAAATGGTTTAAGTGGGAGGTGGTGTTAAAGCAAGAGTATTTGTAATGGTACTATTATGCTATCAATGAAAAAAACTTGTTTTAGTTTATCTTATTGTTGTTGTTAGTTTAAAATACCACCAACTTAATAAATATGCAATGGGTTTAAACAACCAGCAACTGAATAACTATGCAAATGGTATAAAAAACCAGCAAAATGACCCATATATTTCAACTAATAATGCACTATATCAGTGCTATTGTCAAATTCAAAACATATAGGACTCAATTAACAATCCAACCACGTATGTCCAAAATACTAATACTTAAACTGTCTTGTAGCTCATATAAAAATATAGCCACATCAAATTACATTTAGCAAAATCAAATATATGGGTCAGCAGAAGCTACTTCCTAATTCTAAGAGGCTGCTCTGAGCTAACAGCCTACTTCCTAAGTCTAAGAGGCTTCATCTTTGTTCTGGGTGGTCTGGCTGAGGTAGTGGGAGATGTTGTTACTGATGCTTGAGTGAGCTGGCTCAGCCGATGGTGGTCAGTCTGCTGTAGTTGCTGACTCTGCTGATGTTGACTCTGAGGCTGCTCTTGATGCAGAGTCTGCTGACTTTGAGACTGCTGAGTAGTGTGCTGCTTCTTCTGCTGCTCTTCCTGAGGGAACCTCCTATTAGCAATACTGTTGGGTCCTGGTGTACCACCAAGGGCACTCTGCACAACCAAATTAACAATAATTAGGATGATACTTCTCAATAAACACATTTGACCCTAAATCACTGCTATGTAGGATATTTTGTACCTCTTTCAAAGCTCTTTCTGCTTTCTTCTTCCTCTGGTCATTCACCCATTCACTGTGCACAACAGGTCTTCCTCCTTCTTTTTTTGGGGATGAGAAAGCAACAGGAGCCACATGTGGGTTTTTGCATGTCTTAGCATAGTGTCCCAATTGCCCACAGTTCTTGCAAGTGCTCCTCCTTTTCAAATGTTGCTGCTCTTGCTGGTTACCACCAACCACTTCCCCTTTCTCCAACTTTCTCTTTTTTGACTTTGGCCTCCCAGGCTGAATTTTTACTGCTGGTGGCAGAGGTTGCCTCAGCTTCACCTTCTCCCAGTGATGTGGACCAGGCATAGCTGCCACTTCATGCATGTATGCAAGCATATAAGTGGACACAAGATATGCATCATCCACATAATCTTCAGGTTCAGCCCTCTTGTCCATGATGCATGCATATGCATGCACACATGGGATGCCTGTTAGCTCCCAGTGGTAGCATGAGCATGTTTGTTTGCTGAGATCAACTGTCACTAGGTCTGAGTTCAACTCTACCTCATAAGTATCACCCCTTGAAATCTGCACAATGCAATGTCTAGCAGCAGGTTCTATCCTTTGAAATGTCTTCTTCACATAAGGAACAACCTTACCTTCCATTTCCTGATAACTCTCCCATTTCTCATGGTTCCTTCTCATCATGTACCTCCAAAGCCACTCCATCTGAGTCAAAATTGGCTTATCCCTTGCTTCTTTGATGACGGCATTAAAATTCTCACATACATTGTTGAGCAACATGTTAGACTTTGGGAATGGACTAAATGCATGTCTGGACCAGTGTTGAGCTGGGATCTCAGCTAGATATTCATATGCTTCTTCAGACAGAAACTTAATTGATTCCATTGCCACTTCAAAGTCAAACTAAGCAAGAAACACCACACACATCCATCAAATACACATAGTCAGACAACATAAAAACACATAAAACAGACACATAGATATACAACACATATTTCAGTGTCAAATACATAGTTGCATAACACAGACACATAGATTTAATCAGTTAAACACCCATAACAATGTAGAAACATACCAAAGTTGTTGCCCTAGCTGCTGACCAGAACAACTCCTTGAAAGTTGCACCACTAAATTGTAGCTTGAAGTTTGCCCATATATGCCTCACACAATACCTTTTGTCTGCATAAGGCACCACCTGCTCCATAGCTTCTAGTAAACCCTATTTAAAAAAATAAAACCAAGGCCTTTAGAATAATGAATCTTTAGAATAACAGAAAAATAAATGCAATGTTTAGAAGTATACCTTTTGCCTATCAGACATAAAGGTAAAACCAAGGTCTTGATTTTCATCCTTCAAGGCTTTCATTAAACTCTCTAAGAACCACACCCAAGTGTGTGTGTTCTCAATCTCAACTGTTGCCCAGGCAATAGGATATATGTTATTATTGCCATCTTTACCAACTACAACTAGTATTTGACCAGGATAAGGGCCTTTGAGATGGCACCCATCAACTCCAATCAGTGGTCTGCAGCCTGACAGGAAACCTCTTGCCATAGGTGCAAGGCAAATGAACATTCTCAGGGATTGAGGAGGCTCAGGCTGGTCAACTCCTTCTACTACAACATTGCACACAGTACCAGGGCTATACTTAATGATAGCCTTCCTATAGTCCCAAACTTTAGCATACTGCTCTGCTGCTGATCCATATATCAGCAACTTAGCCCTAGCCCTAGCCATCTAAGCCTTATTGTATGTAATTTCAATGCTAGTGTCACCTAGCACCCTCCTCGTAAAGCTCTTTATTTTCCAGCCTGGATCACTTCTCCAATCCTCAAGGTACTTCTCAGCTAAAAATTCAGTAGTTAGGTTTAAATTGCTCCTAACTCTGAAATACTTGTGCTTAAAATTCAGACTCTTAATCTTCCAATAGTCTTGGTTCACAGACCTCCTTGCAACTACCCTAAAGTGACATCTTCTCCCCCCTACACAAGTACACTTAGGTAGCTTACACTTCTTAGAATTCCACTTGCACTGACACCTCCTTCTGCACTGAATAGTTACTTTGGTACTGTCATTGTGCAAATACCAATACTCATACCTATTCTGAATAGCATGAACCCTTAAAACTCTCCTCAGAATTTTTTTGTTCTGGAACTTTAGACCTTTGACCAATTCAATGGGTTTTTTGAAGTCAGTATGTGGATGGAAAGTTGGGCAATTGTCTTTCTCCTCATCAGAACCTCTAGGGCTATCCAACTCCTCAGAGTCAGATGTAAACTCTCTCTCTACAGTAACCTCATTTCTCAACAGTTCACTCTCAAGGTTGTACTCAGGGAGCTGCAACTCTTTATCACTGTCATCTTGCACACATTATAAACTAGCATTCACTTCAGCTAACATCTTGCCCACACTGTCATCTAGATCTTGAAACTCCCCCTCCTCAAAATCCCCCTCTTCTTCCCCAACTTCCCACTCTATGGTAGTATTAGAGTTTGATGAATCAGATCCAAAGTCTGATTCCAAGTCCACCTCACTCTTACATTTCTTCTTCCTTTTCCCTTTTGCTTTTCCCTTTTTCTTCTTCCCTGTTTGCCTAGAAGTACCTTCCTCTTCACCCAATTTGTTCTTCCCTTTCACACTGTCAGAGAACAGTTTCTTTTTGGTGGTGGTGTTCTCAGTATGCTCATCAACCCCGTCTACCCCTTTGCTGGTTTTTTCTGCCTCCTCTTTGTCTTTAATTGCCAACTACTGCTTAAACCTAGGGCTCCTCCTCACTTCACTGGGCTTAGGTTTGACTTTTGTTTTTTGGGTGGGTTGTACAATACTCACTTCAGGGCTAGTACAATAAACTATAACAACCTTATCCTTGTTTATTGTCTCTAGCAAGCCTTGGACATCACTGTCACTCACAATCTCCTTTTTCCCACTTGACCAAGTCCTCCCCTTTATCTTATACCAAACATTGAACAGCCTTGGCACATGCATATCTAACTTCACAAAGCCCCAAATGCAAGATTCCCTAACAAAGTTCACAGACATCTCACTAACTTTACACTTGTACCTCCAATATTCAAAGCCACCCTCATACCCACATAATGTCTTCCCCTTTATTTTTTTGTTCACAAACACCCCCCTAGTCTAACCTTAACAGCTACATAATCAACATCAGCAACAACCTGTTCATTGTATAAAGCAAAATTATGCACTTTCAACACAATTCACATGCACAAAAAATGCAACTTTGTTACACATAGCAGTAGTAAACAATTCGCCTAATTCACTCTCCTAAGTACATCCCTAATTAAATAATTCAACAACAATTACAGTAATAGAATACATAACTCAATCAAATACACAAACAACCCTAACTTTCCACATAATTGCAAATATACCATCAACAACCAACAACCTTCAACAGTAAACACAAACAACAAAATTGCTTACCTCTTTCGACGCCATTGCACTGAGCTATTGTCAGGTTCCTCACCTAAGCTCCTGGTCCCCAGTAAACAGCAAAAGATGGCGACTTTTTTGCAATTAAACAACCCCACTTCAAGCAATTACTCTAGATTAATTCCTGTTGCAAGTACAATTAGGGTTTTAATGTCGAATTTAGGGTTCTGAATTGAACAATGCACAACAATTTATGAAGAAAGGGGGAATTCGCTGAAAAAAGGAGTGAAATTTGATTGTAGAATAGGGTTAGTTGGGAGAATTGAATGAGAAACAGAGTGAAAGACAGTGAAGTCGAGAGAAAAGGGAAAAAAAAGGGAAATAACTAAACTGGGCCCCACAAGCTAAAAAACCACCGGATTTTCAAATTGGGTGGGAATCTGAGCAAAAAATTAATTTAATGGGTGGTATTTTAAAATAAAATTTTTTTGGGTGGTTAGTTAGAAATTCAACACATTTTTGGGTGGTTTTTTTGAAAATTATCCTTTTCTTTATCTTATTTTCCTTTAATTTTCTTTTCTTTTATTTCTTTTTCTTTTTCTTCTTTCTTTTCTTTCCCCTTCATCCTTCCCGTAAAAACAAGCAGCCCCACCCCACTGCTGTCTGGCCAGCCTCATCGCAAAAATTTTCCCACACAAGAGGTTAGTCTTACTTTTCTTTTCTCTTTATTTTCTTTATCTTATTTTCCTTTAATTTTCTTTTCTTTTATTTCTTTTTCTTTTTCTTCTTTCTTTTCTTTCCCCTTCATCCTTCCCGTAAAAACAAGAAGCCCCACCCCCAGTTGTCCGGCCAGCCACCTGCTGTCGCCGGCGACCTGCCGGTGGTCGCCCAAACTGCACCGCCGCACCACCTTTCTTCCTCCCTTCTCTCTCCTCTTGTTTTAATTATTGTTCTAATAATTTATAATTTGGGTTTTTGATTTTAATTGTTTAAATATGATTAGTATGTTTTATAATTATGTTTTGATAATTAAAGATTGTGAATTTTAGAGTGTGAAGTGTTTTAATTTCAGATTTTATAAAGCATTGAAAGTTAGGGTTTTTATTATTAAAGTATTGATTTTTAGGGCTCTAACTTGCAATTAATTTGGGGGTTTTATATACCCATTGATTAGAAGTATTAATCAAGCTTAAAGATTGAATCTTTATGGAGTTTTGATGAGTTTTTAATTAAACTATAATGCTGGAAATTTTGCCCAAAGTACTACTTTTGATGGTTTTATGAAAAGGATTTAATTACCCAATAAAGAAGAGTTTAATTAGGGGTTTTTAAATAAATTTTCTGATTATTTTAAGTAGTCTAAAGTGAGTTTAAGTTGCTGAAAATTGTGTATACAAGGGTAATTAATTTAGTATTATTGTCCCTTTATGTAGGAGACTTGATTCGGGAATTGTTGTAGTGTTTTCGGCCACTTTAAGGGCTTTATTGAGGTACGTTTGTGTACTTAGCATAGTTATGTTGATGAAGTAGCATGCTAAATGTGTTTGATTAATTAAAAATAGTATCATGCTAGGTTTAGAATGGAAATTTGTGATTTGGATGTTATTAGTGATTGAATTGAGAAGCATGATTTACTTGTGATGAGTTATTGAATGGAAATTAATAGTTTGGAATATTATTTATGAACCAGATGTTTATTTATGGCTTGATAGAGAGCATGTTTAATCAAACTAATTGTTTAATTATGTTTGGAATATTGAAAAGGAATTTTATTATGGTTCATATAATTTTTATTGATGCTTTAAGCATGGAGAAGGAGCTATATAAGTTTCTATGTACACGAGGAATAAATTGTATGTTGGTGCCTTTGTGCACTTAAGGTGTTTATTACACCGAGGGATAGGATTTTTGGCGCTTTATGCGTTTAAGGTTTCTTTGACACTGAGGTAGAATTAAAAAGGGTTCAACATTAAATATTATGTGGTTACTAAATATTCTAGAATTAAATTGGTATGTTTGTTGATTGAATAATTATTGATGATTGAATAGTTATGCTTCGAGAGTCATCACCAAGTCTAATTATATGTAAATAACGTAAAGTGAAAGAGATTACGCACCAAAACTCTTGGAACGTATATACCTTGAGTATGAACATATGGGGGGAGTTATGTGACTTTATATTTGATCATAACTTCTAACGGAGTACATGAGGCTGTATATTCCTTTTTATTATTATTATGCGCTGGAATTCCGCCACCTATGTGTGGCACAGGTTTTTCGCTGGCACGGTTAGCTCCCGTGTCAGTTAACCTCAATTTATTGGGGGAGGTATAGTTGGAAACCCGTTCGATGCGTAATCAACGCTAAATGAATTATTTAGTGTCTAGTTAAAGTGTCTTGTTGATTTTTGTGTGTGCTTGTAAACAGGTGCATTGAGGTAAGTGTGTGTTGATAGGTGAAAGCATGTTAGTGTGTTTAATTACGCTTATGTACTCAGCTCTGCTGATTGTGTGTGTTTGTGTGTTTGGCCATGTCTTTATCTTGGCCCTATGATGACCCATTTTTAATGGAGAGTAGTGGGGACAAGTGGAGATAATCTTTTCAGGTGTTGAAGCATATTCATGACGGGGTGAGTGAAGAGCGAATCATGCTAGTTTCTATTAGTTGTGATGCGGTTTATTGCTTTAAAATATTATATTATGTTACGCGTATGAGACTAACGCAAAGGTTTTCGTAATTTAATTGGTTTTGATAAGGGCCTTCAATGGTTCCAAGTTGTAGGTTGATTTTATTTGACTTCGTTTGACTTTGGTTTTAACTTTACTTTCGTTTGGTTGACTTTTAAGTTGACTCGTTTTGAATGGTTTTGATTTAAGTCTTCCGCTGTGTGTCTTTGATAATTGCCTTAGCCGTTCTCACGGTGGCGGTA